CTTAGTAAATATGATCCAAGCCACAAAGAGTTATATGAGAGTATGTTAAAAGAAGGAGATTCATTATTTGATCCACAATTTAAACCTGCTATGAGAGATTATTTTGCAGGATGTTTTGATATGAAATCACCAATGTTTCAACAAATGGCAAGAAACGTAACAGGGAAATTAATGACATACATGAGATTTAGTACTGAAAGAAAAATGTATAGAAAGGAATTAGATAAAATTGTTATTAAGAACCCAATATTTATTACTTCATTACCAAGAAGTGGGTCAACTTATTTACATAATTTAATTGTAAATGACCCAAGAGCTAGTGGAATTAGATTTTATGAACATATTTGTCCAGGAAGTAAAACAATGGAAAGTGAAAGTAGAAAGAATATACTTAGAGACATATTAAAGTTATTTGAATCAAGTCATACTGAAATGAATACTGTTCATAACCTTGACAGTTTAATGAATTATGAAGAAGAATTATTCTTTATGGAAATGCTTGGACAATGCTTTATCATTTCAAGTGCTATGCCTCGTTTTGAACAATTTAGAGTTAATCAGTTTAAAAGAGATTATCATTATGTTTATGAAGCTCTTATTGATGAATTTAAAATGCATTTAGAAGAGTTTCCATTAAAAGGAGAAGATGGATTTTTATGTCTTAAAGCTGTCAATCATTTTGCAACAATGGTACCAATGTTAGATGTTTTAGGAAGAGATGAATATAATGCTCGTTTTATTTGGATTCACAGAGAACCAGTTGAGCAACTTAAATCGTTTATTCCATTACTTATAGCTACAAAAGGAAGGTTCGAATATGATTTAGGTAAAGATGATATTGAGTGGTTAAATAAATTTGCTGTTAAAATAAATGAAATCGTTTTGAAAAATTCAATTGCTGCACGTGATGCTTGGGTTGCTCAAGATCCATCAAGAGCTAAAAGAATTTTTGATGTTGGATTTGTTGAAGCTGTAACAAAACCAAAAGAGACAGTACAAAAGATTTATGACTACTTTGGAATTGAAATGACTCCAGAGGCTGAGAAACAATTAGAATTTATTATCAAAGAAGGAGATCCACAAAGAAAGCATGGAAGGAAACCACATGATGATAAGTTATATTTCTTTAATGATGAAGATATAAGAAAGAGATATCAATTCTATTATGATAGATTTGGACAATACATGCCATATTATTATGGTAAAAAGTAATGAAATTATTTTTTTGAAGTATATCAATTTTAGAGTTACAGTTAAGAACATGAATTTGTTTTTTACAAAAAGGAAAGAATATAAGAAGATATAAAAAAGATAAAAAAAATAAAAACACATACTCAAATTATAACTTAAAAAAGGACAAAAGGAATGTCACAACCAAGAAATGAATATTGGGTAGGTAATATCTATAATTTTAGAAGTATTGAAGATGTTAAAGTTAAGAATGGAAAAATTAAACCAAACCACATATTTAGAGGTGGTTTTTTCTTTAATAAAGGAGAAGAAGATATTAAAAAATTAAATAGTGAAAAAGGAATTTGTTCTCTTGTTGATTTAAGGTCATCTGATGAAGTTCCTTCTGGATTTGGAGAAATGGTAAATAAATGTGGGTTGAATTTTTATAACGCACCATTGATTCCATTTTGGAGAAGTATCTTTTATATGATATTTAGAGTACCTTTTAAGGTTATGTTCCATTGTGCATATTTGATTCTTTCTGCTATACTCACTTTAAGACTCCATCTATTTGTTAGTGCAATGAAATCTACTTCAACTTCATTACCATTAGGATGGTACTATCCTGTTATTTATCATTATGGTCAAAAAGAATTATACGGATTATTTAAATTTATTGCTCAACACTCAGATAAACCATTCATCTTTTATTGTTCTTTTGGTAAAGATAGAACAGGTCTTATTGGATGCATGTTAGAAATGTTGTTAGGGGCTTCATTAGATGAATGTATTACAGATTACAAATTAAGTGATAGAAGTTTAAAAGATCATTTAATTGTTGCAAAAGATCATTTCAAAACTTTTGGGGGTGATGAAAAGGGTATTGATTTAGCTAAAACAGATTCTAAACTTCTTATTGATTTTGAACATTTCATTAAAAAGAAATATGGAACCATTGATAATTACTTAATTAAATTTGTTGGATTAACTCAGCAGGATATTGAAATTATTCGCACTAATTGTTTACTTCATACTGAATAAAAAACAATGGTTGATTGCCACTTTAATTAATTTATGATTGTGGTATTATTTTAAATGTTACTTTTCCTCTTTTTTCTCTTCTGTTTTTGAACTATGCCGTACTCTGTGAATTGCTGATTGTATTGCAGAACTGCCAATAATTCGTTCTTTGATACTAAGGTTTATTTTTTTCTTTTTCTTCTCTTCAGCCTCTGACTCTCCTAAAGGAGATGCACTTCTTACTCGTTCAAGTTCATTAGATGATGAGTCGCTTCTTTTAGGGGTTCCTTCTTGACTTTTGGTTTCTTCTTGAAATGGAAGAGTATGAATAAAGAAGTTATCTGTTTTATCTTTTTCCTCTCTTATAATAAAATCTTTTTGTTTCATAAATTCAAAAGAACAGAAAGATGATGAATCTTTTTGTGCTGATAATTTTGCCTTTTCGTTTGGAATTAGTAAGTTATCTTTCTCTTGTTCGGACAGTTCTTTTTTTATAACCTTATCTTTTCTTCCAATTATTTGTTGGGAATTTAAAGATTGTTGTTTTCTTTCAGTTAAAGTATTATTACTCTTTGTTGGTAAGAGCTCTTCATTATTCTCAGATGTGTTTACATTTGAATTAACAAGTTGTTCATTCTTTTTTATATCATCGTTCACTTTTTCTAATTCCTCTAATGTAGTTTGAATAGTATGACGTTTTTCTCTTCTCTTAAAATTTTTAAGTTCTTTTTTCTCTTGTTTTTGTTGTTCTTTGAGAATGATTTTTTGGTGTTTCTCAAGTTTTTTTTCTGACCTGAAGTCTTTTTTAAATTCACCACTGACAGCTAGATCAAAAAATTTTGTTGCTACTTGACGAGTAAACTTGAAAATATCAAACTTTTTATGATCAAAATCAGATTTCTTTGTTTCTTCTGTATTTAAGATATC